AAATACAACAGGTAATAGAACGGGGACGGAGGAGACACACAATATAAAGACAACAGAGGAAAAGGAGACACAAATATAACAGGTAATAGAACGGGGACAGAGGAGACACAAAATATAAAGACAACAGAGGAAAAGGAGACACATATACTACCGGTAATAGAACGGGGATAGAGGAGACACCCAATATAAAGACAGCAGAGGAAAAGGAGACACAAATACAACAAGTAATAGAACGGGGATAGAGATGACACAAAATATAAAGACAACAGAAGAAAAGGGAACACAAATACAACCGGTAATAAAACGGGGATAGAGAAGACAAAAAATCAAATAGCAACAGAGGAAAAGGAGACACATATACTACCGGTAATAGAACGGGGATAGAGGAGACACCCAATATAAAGACAGCAGAGGAAAAGGAGACACAAATACAACAAGTAATAGAACGGGGATAGAGATGACACAAAATATAAAGACAACAGAAGAAAAGGAGACACAAATACAACCGGTAATAAAACGGGGATAGAGAAGACAAAAAATCAAATAGCAGCAGAGGAAAAGGAGACACAGATACAACAGGCAATAGAACGGAGACAGAGGAGACACAAAATATTAAGACAACCGAGGAAAAGGAGACACAGATACAACAGGCAATAGAACGGGGACAGAGGAGACACACAATAAAAAAGAACGGGGGAAAAGGAGACACAAATACAACAGGTTAAAGAACGGGGACAGAGGAGACACACAATAAAAAAGAACGGGGGAAAAGGAGACACAGATACAACAGGTAATAGAACGGGGACAGAGGAGACAAAACATAAAAAAGAACGGAGGAAAAGGAGACACAAATACAACAGGTTAAAGAACGGAGACAGAGGAGACACAAAATCAAAAAGAACGGGGGGAAAGGAGACACAAATACAACAGGTTATAGAACGGGGACAGAGGAGACACACAATAAAAAAGAACGGGGGAAAAGGAGACACAGATACAACAGGCAATAGAACGGGGACAGAGGAGACACACAATAAAAAAGAACAGGGGAAAAGGAGACACAAATACAACAGGTTAAATAACGGAGACAGAGGAGACACACAATCAAAAAGAACGGGGGAAAAGGAGACACAAATACAACAGGTCATAGAACGGGGACAGAGGAGACACAAAATCAAAAGGAACGGGGGGAGAGGAGACACAAATACAGCAGGTAATAGAACGGGGACAGAGGAGACACAAAATCAAAAGGAACGGGGGGAAAGGAGACACAAATACAGCAGGTAATAGAACGGGGACACAGGAGACACAAAATCAAAAGGAACGGGGGGAAAGGAGACACAAATACAACAGGTAATAGAACGGGGACAGAGGAGACAAACAATCAAAAGACAACAGAGGAAAAGAGGAGACACCGAAACATAAAGAAAGACAAAAGGGACAATGAAGACTCCACAAGAAGATGAAAGTAAACAGGACCTGAAGGGAGTACAACACGATCACGGGTTGTCTTTCATCATCTTCCTCTGCCTATAGTGTTTACATGTCGCAGTTGTTTCGGCACTCAGGAGCTTGCTCCGAATATCACGCCTTCCGTGATTGATGTCGACTGCTGACGGACACATTTACAACACAGGGCTTCCAATGATGCATGTTGATGAAAAAGAAGATGGATAAGGTGCAAGGATGTTCTGCGTCATCGATGGCACCTGTCATGTAAATCTTGGTCAAATCCAAGTATTATCACGTCCTTGCATCGAGAACTCAGGTACACAACCACAAGGCCCTCTAATGAGCATAATCAAAAGCATCGACCGTCATATCTCACACAGAAATAGCGTACATCCCTGCGAGACCCTGATGGCGACCATAACACTGGTCTGACTCTCCTTGCACGTTTGCATGGACTCCGTTTAAGTTGTTCCCTTTGTCCTTATTCTGCCCTGGATTGATCGATTTTGAGTTATAGTTGTGATGTTGTTGACACGTTGGTATTTTTTCTTCAAATATAGGTAACAGTACATTGAAACAAGCTTTATAACTTTTTCCAGTGGTTAATTGAATTTTATCATCTTGATAAAAGTAATATCTGTCTCACTGTGAAACGTGTAACACAGAAAGTGATATTTATTACAGTTTCAAAAAAATATGACATTTGGTAATGAACAGTCAAGATTAAGAGTCTATCTTTTCACTGTATCAAAAACTACATATTTCCTGGTCAGATGCATCTGAAGCAACGTAGAATAATGGGTTGTTTAGAAAATCTTTGCTTTTTAAACTACAAGGGAAAAACTATTAAATCATCCTTTAACTTTGCCGTAGTCTAGCTGATAGGCTACAATGTACCTGCGAGAATACCTAAGTTTTACATGTAATGGCATATATGGTGCTGAAATGTCGAGTATATATACCATTTTGTATTTAAATGTAGTATGCCCTTGCAATGATGGTAGGCTATTGGCATGGTCATATCACTGCAAAAATTAACACCCAAGTTACTAGCCTATGGGACTGACTCTGTAGCTAATCTTCGGTTATACGTTGTGTCATTTAAGCATTGAACTGCTTTCAGTTGGCATTCATAGGTTATATGAATGCCAACTGGACAAAGGCAAATTCCATAAAGCGCGCTAGCGCTTCTTGTTGAATTTATGATAATGAGTAGATAGTTTCTACAGGGACCTGATCATTTACGTGTTGCATGTCTGTATACTTTCATTTGGGGAGGCAAGTTTAGCGAAAGTTGATTTAACCCCTAAAACATAATATATCACAAACTGATGGGTTCAGAGTTATATTACAATCATTTATGTTGGCGGCCTTAGCAAAAGTTGATATAAACAGTTAAGGTCCAAGTATAGCTATGCTGTGACAAATTCTCAAATCCCTGTTGGAAAAATTGATAAAACCGAATGAAATGAATGGTGAGTGACACAAATTTCCAGTTACACCATCAATATTTCCTGTATGGTTATTTCAATATGTTGTTACATGTCATATGCTGTTAATATTTCAACATTTCGCCGGAAAAAAACTAGCTGTATTACGTACAGTAAATTATTTTTAGCATGTTTTCACCCCTTAAATGATGGTCTTTTTATGAGTATAGATGAATCGTTCGTACATTTGTACTTTGTTACTTGTTTTCTGTCGGAATCTGCTCCCTATATTTTTGTATTACAATGTTTTTCCTAACCGGGTTCTATGACAACCCGCTACTATCTTTTATATTGATATCACTCGCCAGGTAACGTGTTGCTTGTAATTGCCTGCTATTTCATTTCTACACCGCGTTAGTTTTCACTTTTTCTGGTGTTGGTTAAAGCAAAGAGTTACGTATGTACAAAAGAAATATATTAATTATCATTTTCACAGAAACATTCCCAACAGGGATTCGATTCCCGAACCTCTACAATGCTAAGCACTACGCAACAGGTCATCCTATTTTTAAAACTATAGCTTTCAGCAACATTATTGGGCATTGATTTTAGCATGTTTTAACCCCTAAAATGATGGTCTTTGTATGATTATAGACGAATGCCTGTATTTAGTAGAGAAGTGCAGGAATTCTCTCAAAATGTGAAGTTTCTAAAGAATAGTCTCAGATTTAATTTCGAAGAAGAATTCCACTTAGATCCTCTTTTTTTTGTTACTTTTCCGTTTTTTAAAATTTGTGAATGCTCAACCATAATCATAAAGCAACCAAAGCATCTTTTTCTCTGGCATAGTTCTACGTCCTATGACCAGGTACTTTTCCCTCATTTTGATGCTGTGCAATTCCTTTGACGCAATGACATGGACAATACAATTTAATCCAATCAACATCAAGCCCATGGCCTTTGTTTAAAGAGTGTACACCATCAGCGTATTTAGCATTATTACGTTCACTTAAGTCGACATTAAAATAAATGTGTGGTTTGTTACGGAGTTGAATTGAATGTCCTTGAAGTTTAACGGAATAACGAAGACTAATCTGCACTGCAATAATATCATAAAGATTGTCTTAAAGGATAACCATTCTTAGTGTGTTCCGCTTCCCATGCACATGCCATTCTTAATTGAATAAACTGATGAACTGAGAAGGTGGTATGGAGACAAATTCAATGTCAAGCGACAATTGAAGGACAGATGGACAGAATGACACCTAACTTCGGACTGTCCGTCAAAGCTTGTGTTCCCCATGACATAAAGTGTGTAGGATTATCCTGATAATCAACCATCACGAGTTATGGGACCTTTTTTGTACCATAACATTCAGATATTATATTAAGAAAGCCATATGATTCTCTCTTGAGAATAAATCATTTCTGTCTCCAATGGGATCTGACGTCACAATGTATTGCTACTTAACGTCATACATTGTAGTTATAATTTTTTCACCAACTCCTAGCAGGTTTATCCAATGGGTCGGGAGTGAGGAAACCTGTAGTGGTTGTGAGAAAAAATATATTTACATAATGTATACGTGTATGGAATGTCATCATGTCATTTAATTACGTGACGTCATTGCAAGAATCTTACTTCCGGCTTTTGTAAAATATTCTCTTGATTGATTTATCTACGATGAAGTTACACGTTGCATGTACAGTATACCAAGAAAATTTTTTATATTATGAAATGAAATTATACACCATTTGATATAGAGCCTTATATAGCTAGAATAAGCAACTCTTAAGAGTGATACACAACTTATACAACCAATACAATTAACATATCCCTTAAATAATGCATGAATCAATACAATTTTGAGGAGCTGTCTAATCAGTCGTTAACTACTGACAACGGTATCTTTTATAGAGCCACCGCACTTGAATGCATGCAGAAACTTTGATACTGCAGACCATTTTATGGGTTGTATGGGCAGGAGAAAAACACTTTCTCGCGTGGAAGGCCGGAGTGTAAACCACTCTGCCACTCCGTCCATAAATTGTACATTACACCCATATATTATGGTCATTTCTTACATTATATTTTTCAAAGACAAACAACAATTGATTTTATGCACAGGAAATTGTTTTTATTCATTGTTTGAAAAAAAATGTTGCAAAAAGTGTATACCAAACAAAACTGAGTGTCTTAAAATTGCTTCCCTCTCTCAATTTAAATCAAATAAAGTTGTTGTTATAATTGTTGTTTAGATGATCAATAATAAATTTATTAACAAAAAACTGCTTATAATAGGCAACATCTAATTGTTTTCGCCATAATCCTATATTTCTTTTCAAAACGGTTAACACATTTAATTTGCACTTATTTGCAGTTGAGTACTTTATTCAAAACAAGGAAAATACAATTTTCTAAATTGAAAGGCGAAAAGGACTCCAGACGACACATAACGATGTATACACACGATACACTTTCACATAGACATGGTGTTTTCTGACGGTCAGCGGTAAGTTGGTAAATTACCTGAAATTAAATAGAAATTTTTAACACATATAACTGTTATTTTGTTTCATTAATGACACACAGTATATATTACGTCAACGTTTTATTTATTATACACAAGAAGATGTTTCATGTGAATTTAAATGTATTGGTATAAAATATGATTTGCTATCAAATATATAAAAATAAAACAAATACAAAAACTGTTAAAATTTGTAGAGATAACTTTAAATTTATTTTAACGGATTCAGTATAAAAGAAGTATTCTATTTTCCAAAAGAACAGACAAACGAATAAAAATAATACTTTAACATAGTTACCAGATAGTTTTCTAGAACAGTCCACCGCCGAGGAAGGGGGAATCATATCCTAAACCACCATAAGGACTATGATGATGGTGGTGATATGGGTCGTAATTATATCCGCCACCATAATGTCCGCCACCATAAAATCCGCCACCATAACGTCCGCCATAATATCCGCCTCGTCTATTCATGAGAGAGCTAACGCCATATCCTAGTACAGCGCCCCCTAAAAGGCTCCCCAAACCACCCCTAAACAACCGCGCTTCAGTCTCTACTGTCAGCAGACATAACGCTAAGACAACAACGACAAGGACCTTCATCTTGCTGCAAATACAAAAAAGCCTGTGCAACACTCTATATATACAGAAGGGAAGTGACAATACCACATCCACACAAGTGAGCCTTATGATAAATTAAGGTCAATCTGTTTTTCTCCTAAATAACGCCAAAGGAATTACCCTATGATAAGTAACAGCTATTGTCAGGTCGACTATATAAACGTCAATGTGATAGACACCTTCAGGAAATAAACACGTAAAACATTCACAAAAGAAAATCACATTAAATGTATTTTCACATCCCTAAAATTAAAACTTCTATTTGCTGTCACTTCCTTGTGTTGACTTGTGGTTTGACACGGAGTGAGTTCGTTGCTGTACTCGGTGAACCCGTGCAAACATTTGTTTTGTAATACCACCATGAGTATTTGGGATAGACTTAAACTTAATACTTCAAAGTAGAAAAAGACTTAGGTAAGGACCTATAAACAAGTGTATTGCCTTTAATGTTTTGATTGTCAGAAGAAATGCTACTTATACTTTACTTCTACTTAAGGAAAGAGATGTATCCGTCGTTTCATTAGAGTTCGTGTAATACTTATTATTACTTAAAAAAATGTTATACTGTATCTTTGAGAATTTTTCTAATGATTTTAACTATGTAGTACGAGAAGACTTGTGGTGTAAGTTGGTTAGGAATCAGAGTTTGGATGTTGGATGTTGTGAAATAAGTATATAAATCCGTTAAAGCTAGGGTTAAAAAAAAAAGGTGATATTTCAGAGGAATTTAACAGAATTACGGGGTACGGCAAGGGGAAAGTTTATCCCCATTTAAATTTGCCATGTATGTAAATGACATTGAGCAAGAGTTGAGTATGAAGGGATATGAGAGTGCATCTACGAAAGGTTTGAAATTGTTTATACTTTATATGCTGACGATTAACGTTATAAACTGGCACTTACTTAGGTTTACAGACAAGTTAGATTCCGTATTGTTTAATTAAACAATTTTCCTTAAGTAGAAGTAAAGTATAAGTAGCATTTCTTCTGACAATCAAAACATAAAGGCAATACACTTGTTTATAGGTCCTTACCTAAGTCTTTTTCTACTTTGAAGTATTAAGTTTAAGTCTATCCCAAATACTCATGGTGGTATTACAAAACAAATGTTTGCACGGGTTCACCGAGTACAGCAACGAACTCACTCCGTGTCAAAGCACAAGTCAACACAAATTCCTTTCTACGAATGAACACTTGTATGACACTGTTTAAGCATGCCAAATATTTATTTGGTTAGTTTATGCGGATGATTTGGAAAAGAAATAACAGCATTTTATTCATTGGCTCTAAAATGGCAATTCTTTCAAATGTAAATAACACATCATAGACGAAATTCATGTATTTTATTGTGGAAAATGCGGGTAAATCCCTCTCTCTGTAACGCAATATCTCCTATACCGGCTGTCGAATTATTTGGAAACATCACATTGGCGTACTTCATTTATCCAAGGTTACGTGGAATCTGTCTAACTGGATGTTTCCAGGACAACATCTTAGTCCTTGTCTAGTTTACTGCTACACTTCCATTCTTATGTTATACATACAACCCTAAATTTCATTCTTTGTACAATTAATCACTATACTTCCGTCACTATAAATGCTATAATTATATTCAATTATATATTTTATTCTTTGTGCAATTAATCACTATATTTCCGTTCCTATATATGCTATTATTATATTCAATTCTATATTTCATTCTTTGTGCAATTAATCACTATATTTCCGTCCCTATATATGCTATAATTATATTCAATTCTGTATTTCATTCTTTGTGCAATTAAACACTATATTTCCGTCACTATATATGCTATAATTATATTCAACTCTATATTTCATTCTATGTACAATAATCACTATATTTCCGTCACTATATATGCTATAATTATATTCAATTCTATATTTCATTCTTTGTGCAATTAATCACTATATTTCCGTCCCTATTTATGCTATAATTATATTCAATTCTGTATTTCATTCTTTGTGCAATTAATCACTATATTTCCGTCACTATATATACTATAGTTATATTCAATTCTATATTTCATTCTATGTACAATTAATCACTATATTTCCGTCACTATATATGCTATAATTATATTCAATTCTATATTTCATTCTTTGTGCAATTAATCACTATATTTCCGTCCCTATATATGCTATAATTATATTCAATTCTATATTTTATTCTTTGTACAATTAATCACTATATTTCCGTCCCTATGCTATATATTCAATTCTATATTTTGTTCTTTGTACAATTAACCACTATATTTCCGTCAATATTCTATATATTCCACTCTTTATTTCTTTTCCGTACAACTAACCAATATATTTCCGTCCCTATGCTATATATTCAACTCTATATTTCATTCTTTGTACAATTCATCACACTGTTTCCGTCCCTATTCCATATATTCAACTCTATATTTCATTCGTTGTACAATTCACCACTATATATTTTTTATTTGCTATATATTCAACTCTATATTTTAATCTTTGTATAATTCACCACTGTATTTTTGTTTTTATTTGCTATGTATTCAACTCTTTATTTTATTCTTTGTACATTCACCACTATATTTTTGTTTTTATGCTATATATTCACCTTTTTCAGCTTTGGACAATTCACCACTATATTCAAGTTTTAGAACAATTCATTAGAATGTACAAAACCTTGTACGATTCAACTATTCAACAGGCCCAATAACAGAATTGTTTAACACACTGATTGGAATTAACACAACCTTTGGAGATAACTAATGAACAATAAACGAGTATATAATAATAATATATGACATATTTTTATGTACATTTCTCTTTTATATTCAATGCTATTTACTGTTCACTTCATTATACGAAATACGGTACAATTTACTCCTAATTATTATTGAAACATTCTAACACTACTTTGTGAAATTCCATTGCACAATGTATTCTAAACAAAAATCTTTGTACACGTTTCCACTATTGAACAGTTTTTGCTCAGTTAACTTAATTAATATAAAGATATTTTTTTGGACCTTTTTACTGTTTACAGTAATAAGTTACAATAACAAGCAGTAAATTTCTCACCTATAAACTGCTATTTGTACAAACGTACAATTGAAACTCTTAGATAGAAACATACAATACAAAGGGATAATGACTTTTAAGACTATTATCTAAAACAATATTAGATAGAAAAGCCTTACCTACCTTGTAAACTTGGAAAGCGTGGATTGAGGATTTTCACCTATTCTCAGTGTACAGCAATACGACTATGCTTTTATACGTATGAAAGGGATATTTAACCTATATCTTTGTCAAAGATCAATATCAACGAGAGGATTGATGACTTAAAATTCGACGTGAAACAGGAAAACCGTCATTCAGCCGACCATCCATCTTCACGCACAATTACGTAGATATACGTACGTGTCTTGTAAAACATTATCCGACGCTCATGGACGGATATCATGACTCGTTCCACTCCTTTTCCCTAAAGATGTAATCAAACTTATTCATCTCCCATCCTAACCTTAAAATTCTTACAGTTGCATTATCGCGTTATGCTTTAAAGTTACAGATCAAAACATGTTCTGTATGTTATGCTCTCATAAATAAAGTTTCTACAATAAAAATACTGACTAATAAAAAAGAAACCATCTGATACAATAACTTAATCACACAGTTTAGTACAAAGGGAGAACATGACTGAGAGGTCGCCAAAATAAAGGGAAAGACAGCAGGGACAGAGGAAACATCAAAACAAAAAACAAAAGGAAAGACAACATGAATTGATGAGACACCAAAATAGAGGTAAAGGCAAGAGAGAGAGAGAGAGAGAGAGAGAGAGAGAGAGAGAGAGAGAGAGAGAGAGATGTACCCAGACCAGTTTCTGAAATCCGAGTTGTACAGATAAAATCAAGAAAACTTTATTGACAGGATAAAAGTAAATCGTAAATCGTTGAGTAGTTAAGGCGTCTGAATGTAATGGCCATAGGTCGGTGGTTTTTCTCCGGTTACTCTGGTTTTCGAGCATAGCTATTAAAACCAAAATAATAATAGAAATCAAACGTTTGCACTGAAAAACGTTCATGCTGAAGTAAACGGATGATTTCATCACATTTGATTAACGTTTGGTTTGTTTGTGTTTTACGTCCTATTATCAACTAAGACCATTTAAGGACGTGCCAGGTTTTGATGGTGGAGGAAAGCCAGAGTTCCCGGAGAGAAACCACCGACCTACGGCCAGTACCTGGCGACTGCGATTAACGTCCAGCAAGCGTTTTTGACTTTCTGGAGTAGGTTAGATTAAGTGGTTTCTTTGGTATACCATTGTTTTATAAACTAAGATATTTAACAAACTAATGGGTGGCAGAATATACCCCTATTTTCATTTGTACTTCACACTTCATCGTTAGGTCCTCCATACTTGTGAATATGGTATTCAACGGGAAATCATTAAATCATCCTCTTAAACTTTTACCACTATAAACCATAATGGAATCTTCCTTATCAGCACATGGGATAGTCTTTTGAACTTACATAGGGTTTAAAGGGTTAAAGCGATGTACAATACATAGTCTGGCCGAAAGGCTCCCAACGCGAGTACATAGCTTTGAGAAACATCTTTAAGTATGATTTAGGTCAAATGTAGAGTGCCTTTGTCGTTAACTTGTTCCTTTAACGACATATTTCTTCACAAATATACATCAAGTTCATCATCGATAGGACTGTCTTAATAGCTTTTTAACTAATTATGGCCCTATAGTAATCACTCTGTCTGTCTGTCTGTCTGTCTGTCCGTCCTCAAATTTTGTTCCTGGCTGATAACTTTGATATTTATTGGCCGATGTACATGAAACTTGGTCAAGATGTTCAGTTCACAAAAATACACATTGTGGTAAAAAGTCAAGGTCAAAGGTCAAGGTCAATATCAATGTCAAATTTTGCATCTTTTCACTGATGAACATTTTGTTTTGACATGATGGAGCAAAGTTGATCAGAATTAAACAAGGAGTCAACCTGACCAAATGTCAAGGTCATTGGGTCAAAGGTCAAGGTTAAATTTTGTATCTTTTCACTGGTGAACAATTTGGCATGACACTTTAAAGCAATGATGCTCAGAATTAAACAAGAGTCAACTGACCAAAGGTCAAGGTCATTGGGTTAGGGGTCAAGGTCAATTTTTGTAGCCTTTCACTAATGAGCATTTCATGACATGAAGCAAAGTTGTTCGGAATTAAACAAAGAGACACACTGAGGTAAAAAGTTGAGGTCAAAGGTTAAGGTCATTAGATTCAAAGGTCAATGTTCAATTTTGTATCTTTTCACTGGTAAACATTTTGATATGACATGATGAAGCAAAGTTGATCACAATTAAACAAGTTGTCAACCTGACCAAATGTCAAGGTCATACGGTCAAAGGTCAAGGTTAAATTTTGTATCTTTTCACTGGTGAACATTATGGTATGACACTTTGAAGCAATGTTGCTCAGAATTAAACAAGGAGTCAATTGACCAAAGGTCAAGGTCACTGGATCAAAGGTGAAGGTTACATTTTGTATCTTTTCCCTGATGAACATTTTGTTATGGCATTATGCAGCAATGTTGGTCAGAATTAAACAAGGAGTCAATTGACCAAAGGTCAAAGTCACTGTGTCAAAGGTCACGGTCAAATTTTGTATCTTTCCCTGATGAACATTTTGTTATGACTTTATGAAGCAAAGTTGGTCGGAATTTAACAAAGAGTCAACTGACTTAAGGTCAAGGTCACTCGGTCAAAGGTCAAGGTAAAATTTAGTATTTTTTTGCTGGTGAATATTTCATTATGACACTTTGAAGCAATGTTTGTGGGAATTAAACAACGCGTCATTCTTGATGATTATGGGGGAGATATTGCCACAAGACGGGGCCCTTACTGACCTGTCAGTGTTCTAGTTATTTATATGTCAAATAATTCTTCAAACTGTAAATGAACATGCTACACTATTTTGATGGTATGGTTTCATATTTTAAGTTATGTAACTATTGAAGTGCCATGCTCCTAGAACTTAAAAAAGGTTAAACACATAAAAGTTAAGTTTAATAGTATTATATAGAGAAATGTGTATTATTCACTAATAGAAAATATGCATGTGTATAATATTTAACATGTAGTTGTCCACTGATAGAGGATAACAGTTAAAAAATCCCAGTAACTGCAATATAATCACTGCTATCCCAACAGGAAAGATACTTTTAAAAGCAGTCAATGTAAAATTTTAACAAATTTGTTATTTAAGATGTAGCCACCAAGTGTTTACTGAGAGACTTTTTGAAGACAAAGACATAAACAGTTAAGCCTTATATGTTTAAAATGAATAATTTAAAAAGAAATGTATTCTTTTACCTTATTCACTATATAAAAGATACATTTGTCTTAGGAAATTATCTAGACCTGGTCTTTGGGAACCAGAAGCTTGCTATATCCCTCAAGCCCAATGTATGTCAAAATCTAGTCTGAGTTAGTTCGTTTAACTTTCCGTAGCACGATTTTCTGGATTACGTTTATTTCTTTGGTAATTTTATATAATTATATCATCAACATCAAGTTTATATGAAATATCAACTGGTCATCACGAAGAGTAACTTCGTATTTGTGTGTGTGAAAGTTGATTTATGATGCCAACGTTTGTTGAAAACTAGAAAAAATGTTAAGGGACCATTTATCCTCATAGTTGCCGTCCACTTTGTCTTGATCCCTCTTTCCCTCTTTCATCGAATTTAATGTTTGTGAAGGGTATTTGGAATGTGTTTATACATTAAGGACTTATTTCCGGTTAATATAGTAATAGTACAAAAGGATTTTGGCTGTAGTTTAATATGATTAAGGAATTGCATTCATACATAAGTACACTTGTGTTAAGGGATACAACTCTTAAAACATTAGATTAAAACGAAAAGAGTGCGGCACGCGCTAATAAATATTAAGGTATAATTTTGCATTGCATTGTTTAAGTTCATCTCACACCTTTCAAAAGTACACTTGACTTTGTAAGAACTGTCCAAGGAAATCAATGACCGCAACACTTCAAAAACAATGGAAGTAGCATCTCATTTGTAAATATAGTGTTAGAGAGCCGCAACCTCCTTTTTTCCCCAATAAGTTTTATTTATCAATTTATTTTTCAATGTAATGGTAGTCTGCCAGTGTCGGATCCCTAAGAAAAACACTTTCTTACGAAGTATATATGTCCTCAAGCAGAACGGGACTCGTTCAACGGTTTCTCATTCATTCCCACTCCTTCCCTCTCATACATTCAATGAACTCTTGCGAACTCAAAATAGCCAGCGATCCAACCAGTGTATCTGTCAAACGTTTAACGTTGACCTCCAACAGTTCAGGAAAATCGATGAGTATGTTGTAATTAAAAGTTAATTATGGACTAGATTATGAAATATTGATAAAATAACTTAACATTCTATCACATATAGAGTCATAGCTTCATAAATGACTCAGTCGGTCTTGAAACGTTGCAACACGTTAAGAATATATACAACGTTTGTGTAAAAATAAAACTGTGATATTATATGATATATTATATCACATTGTTTCAGGTCTATTATCACATTGTTATGTAAAATATCACCAGAAATACGAAGAAGGAAGCTGTCCAAACCCAAGTCTGATATAAAAAGACCACAACAATAGGAACAAGGGAATTACTGAAACAAATTGAAAGACATCTTGAATCCCCTATAAAAACCGGAAGCAAAACTAGTGGTTCCGGAAGTATTAACGTTTCATGCACCACTTGCCGGACCTATACTGACACACCATACACAATTCTGGAACGTTTGTAGCTCAACAACTAGCGAAGTAACAGGTAGAGCTATTAAATCGTTAATCAACAGCCTACTAAAGCAAAGGTAGCAGATTTACACACAAGTGTCAGGATAAATGTTTCAACCACTTGTAACGATGGCGTAGTAACGTAGCGTATCGGTAGTTCCTTCCCATATGTACGGGGCATTCCCCTTTCCCGGTAACATAGTATGATAGATAGCAATGATCATTTGCGGTCGATGAATCAATCACATGGTAAGTACTTTAAAAACAGAATGTACAAGGGCGTGACCGAGACAAGAGAACAACCACAAGGTTGATGCGAGTAAGATATTATGTCTATTGTGATTTTTTTTTTTTTTTTTAATTTACACTTAACTAGAACATCTCTTACTTGTTGGAGGCAAAACATACCTACATATCGCACAAACAATGTTAAAGTCTCTTCAATAAGATTCATCACTTTGGAAATATGTAATATCAAAGTTTTACT